CCTGACTTGTGCCCCACAGCACTCCCCGCTGCTGGTGCTTGCACTGCCGCACCGCCCCGTCGCCCCGCTGCTAGGATTTCCCGGCAGCAAAATTTCAAATTTCGGCAAAAATAGCGGGAGCGGGCCTCAAGCATGCTTTCGCTCTGATAAACTACACCGTCTGGATGCAATGCGCAGGATCTGCTGTTATAGCCTTATGTACTAATCCAGTGTTGTTATTGTGCAGGACCGAGCAGCTGCACGGGAACGATCAGCTGCAGCTTCGTCCACACGTCCTGCAGCTGCACCCTCAACACCTGCAGGATGATGCCCTGGACGCCCAGCCCCCCGAGCTGCGCGCGCTGCCACCGGGACACGCCGGCCTGCAGTGGCTCAGGGTGGATTACCTCCCCCGCGCCACGACACAGTCCCTGCTGCGGGCGCACGGCGGCACGCTGGAGGAGCTGGTGCTGCTGGTGGGCACGGCGGGGAGTGATGAGTGTCCAAAGAGCTGCGGCGACCTGCACTCTCGCTGCTGCAGCAGAGCGGGCTGTCTTACAGATCAACGCATCTCTAGACACCGCCACGCCGGCACAGCGCTCTTTAACAGGTCACCACTGCTACCGACACCACCAAAGGTTTCCTGAATAGGTCCGAGGCCGATCCGGCGTTACGTCACCTCCGCGAAGTCGTACAAGAGCCACCCCCTCCCCCCCATCTCTCTCTTTCAAGAGCCGTATCCTTTTGTTGCAGTATTTGCTTTTCATATGTTCGGTGTTTTTATTTACGGTCCAGTCTGTATAAGACAAACCGTAAAAGCCCGTTATAGAGGGCCATGAGACAAAAGCTACAAAAACGCATTTGAAATTTCCACCCAGTACGTCTAGCATATAGCCCCACTAAACTTCAATTTTGCAGTCCATATTGTAACACGTCAGGCTGTAAATTTGAATACAGTCTGGCCGTATTATACATTACAGTGCAGACTGTAACAGATGGTAACAGGTCGGACTGTAACATTAAATACAGTCAGGGCCGTACTAAAAATTTATTGGCCGTCTTGTACGAATTACTGTAGATTTTAAGAACAGTGACCGAGCAGTGCCCCTTCATTCGCCGTGTAGAGGAGGAACACCACGTGCCATCAGAATGATTTAGACACTTTCATAGCATTCTGATGGCACGTGGTGTTTCCCTCTACCCCACTTTGCAACCGTTGGCTCGCGTTGGTCTCCATAGGCCTGTGGTATTCGCGTGGGAGCGCTTTCTCGTGAACCTTTTGTGTTGTGGTCCCACACAGTTGCAGCATCAAGAAAGGTACGGCGGCATTCTATAAGTGAAGGGACTTCTTTTTGTACGTTACAGTAGCAACAAAGTTTTTGAGCATACCCGCAGTCAATAGATCTATGACAAAAACGTGCCATTTTATTGGCTGAGCGATAGCGAAGCCTATTACTCCGGTGATGATCAAAAAATTTCGTGTCTGTCTGTGTGTGTGTCTGTCTGTAAACACGATAACTCGTGAACGGTTTGAGCTAGGTACCTGAAATTTTTAGTGTAGCTTTGTATCATAAAAACAAGAACTGTATTGATTTTGAGCCCTCTAGCTTAAAAATTGGCCTGTCAAAAAAAACAAAAACCAAAAACCCAATATATTACTTTTAATTTATTTTTTTTACGTCTTTCTAAGACGTAACTTGTCAAAGTAGAGCCCTATGGGCCAAAATTTTGTCCGTTTGGCTCTCTCTTTTACCGTTTAGTCGCCAGCGGGCGATGTCCACACGAAAATGACCCCAAACCATTTTAATGTTGTTTCTCAGATATTTGATGGTGTCTGGTGGGACAACTCGTCAAGATAAAATTCAGGGGTAAAGTTTTTGTCCTTGGAGCCGAAGGCCTATTACCACTCTGCCTTTTGCCCGACTCGGGTGTCAGCGCCGCAGGCCTAGGTAGATGTATGCCAATGCCAGGCGCGTCGCAGCGAAACAGTGTTTCGTGAGATATCGCGAAGCCTGTTACGCGAGACGTGGTCTGGCGTACATCTACCTAGTAGACCAATAAAGCATTCCGGTAACGCTGGAATGCAGAAGAATGCAGGGAACAAGAAAACGGAAGGCCCATGTAATAGCATAGTGATTTCCGTTTTCTACTTCCTCGCATTCTGCTATAGCTTTACCGGCAAGCTTTAGTGTGGCATAAGAAGCGAGGGGTCCCCCAATCTTAAAATGGGTGTACAACCAGTTGGCGCGAGTATTGGTGAGTTTGCGGGAGTTTAGGCGAGTTGGGACGAGTATTTGTGAGTTGGCAGGAGTATAGGCGACCCCTACTTCAAAAAATGGTGTCCAACGAGTTGCCGAACACGGGAATAGTCGCGAGTTGGGGTGAGTTGGTGAGTCAGCCTATAAAGCATTCCGGTAAAGCTGAAATACAGAAGAATGCAGGGAACAAGAAAACGGAAGTTCCATGTAAAAGCATAGTGATGTCATTTTCCTTCCTCGCTGCGGGTAGCGCGCGCGTCCGTGCGCGCAGGCGAGGGGAGGAGAGGGGGAGCCGGCCAGCCGCCAGCCAGCCAGCCGCGCCCGAGGCCGGCCCGCGCCCCTCGTAGTAGGTTTCAAGTGCTCAGGCCGGCTCCCAGGTTTTCAAACGGTATCACAAAGCACATTTTCCTCTTCGTCTAAATGTGCTGAATCCGACACTGACCTTGGAAATGGTCTTCGACCAATACAGGCGTCAGGGTGTTGCCAAAGTCCGTCAGGCGGGTTCTTACGGGGAAAAAGCTGGGACTCCAGGCCGCCCTTCTCTCATGCTCGCATTCTTCTGCATTTTGGCTTTACCGGAATGCCCTATAACTCCGCCTGGTCGGAAAAAAGTCTGTCTGTGTGTCTGTCTCTCTGTGTGTCAGTCCGCACGATAACTCGAGAACGAATAGGGTATTGGAATAGAGCGCTGCCCGGAACGAAGCCACCAGCAGCTCCCCCGCGCGCGCGCTCCCTCCACCGCTCTCTGTATCCGTTTTTGTTCTTCACAGTTCCGAGCAGCGCTCCATTGAAATGCCCTATTGAACTAGTGACCTGGGATTTTCAGGGTCGTTTTTTATCAAAAGAAGACAGATCGAGGGCAAAGCTGAGCATTTCAGCAGCTTAGACGGTTCTAGCAGTGCCCGTTTACAGAAGAATTAAGGAAATCAGTACCGACAATAGTTAGAAAATACAGGTTAAAACCAATGCAAATGAACCTTGACAGTTACTAGGGAGGTTCATTTACGTCGACCGGCACTGTCAAATAAGAAAAATAGGGCAAACTAAGTAGTTGTTCCGGTACCGAATTCCTTCCTTCTTCACGAAACGCGCACAGCCGGAACCGTCTTTTGGATTTTTTTAGAATCAAAAACAACAGGCCCCTAAAATAAAAATATATTCTTTTTTACACTTGCCTATGGAGTATTTCAAGAAGGAGGAGCCCTTCCCATGGGCCAAAATTTTGTCCGTTTTGCCCTACCCAGGGTAAAGAAACCATGATTGTCATGGTCAAATTGAGATTTTGACCATGGGAAACCAAGATTTTAATCATGGACATTGCCTAGACCATAGTGATCATCTATGCCCATTTCCCCAGCCATGATACTCTGCACTCGGTTGACCATGGACAACGACTCAACCATGCGCAAGTGGGATGTCCACACCATGGTCGACCTTGGCGTGTTCTTTAGATATATCTAATTAATTTCTGTGGGCACTCTGACCATGAACACACACGTACCATGGCTACAATCCTGGCCATGTAAATCAATTTCTGTGGGCCCTCTGACCATGAACACACACGTACCATGGCCACAATCCTGGCCATGTAAATCAATTTCTGTGGGCCCTCTGACCATGAACACACACGTACCATGGCCACAATCCTGGCCATGTAAATGAATTTCTGTGGACACTCTGACCATTGTAAATCAATTCCATGGCCAGCTAGCAGCCAGCTGCTCCCATGGACACGTTCTGACCATGAACCATTGTGCCTT